ATTATCCCTTTCAAAAGCATTGTCAGTAATACTTTATGAAATACAAAATTTCTATATTTACTTATGTGGCCTAAATAGCAACGCTGTTTCCAAGCAGCATATCTGTTTTGTGTCAAGATATTGTGTGTTATAAATATTACATGCTAATGTATCGATCAATTCGAAACTTCACCATCACCCCCCCGGGCATACCCCGGGAATTTGACTTCAAGTCTTCTCCAGGGAGTAGGGAATTTGACGTTATAGGTCTTCCATGTGGTGGGGCATTTGATAACGGGGTGGGGCATTTGATAACAGGGTGGGGAATTTGAACCGGAAGTCTTAAAATTTTGCCCGTTTTCGCGTGCTTCCTGCATGCACAGAAAATACTTCGCATTGGCGGCAAATACAGTTTTCTCAGATTTCGAGGGAAACAGCCTCAATTTTGGGAAAAACTGGCTCAAAGAAACGGGCATGGAAAATCTATGTGCTTCATTTGGAGATATGTGCTACATAATTGTGTAAAACTGTTAAATTTCCACAAAGTATCCAAACTTTTTATGTGAATTTCGCTATCTTGTCGAAAAACATTTCCGTATATTTTGTACTTTTCGTGTTTACTGTTTCATAATTTTCATATGAAGGTGGGGCATTTGAACGCTTAATTTCTTGTTACAGTGGGGCATTTGAAGACATTTTTTGCACAGGGGGTGGAGAATTTGATCAGTCAAATTTCAAAAAGTTCAAATTCCCGGGGTCGGCCCGGGGGGGGATGGCGAAGTTTCGAATTGATCGATACATAATTTTGTCAGAACAACCCACTTGCAAGACAATATTACCTAAATTCATTAGTATGGATAATAACTTAACAGCTATAATAATCATATATTATATGGATGGATCAGATCAATGGCACACAATATGTACAAAAGTCAAAACTAAACTGGTGGTACCTTCTACTCAAACTGATATTCTCCCACAACACAAATTGTTTTTGTGTGGATATGATGTGTTAAACCGAACAGTGTGGTATATCATTAACTGTGCACAGGATTGGAATTGAATTATATACTTCACTCATGACCTTCAAAACATTCTCTACTATTCAGTGGTCTTTGATATATGATTGACTCTTTGCTACAGTGATGCATGTTCCTCGAATAGTTTGTGTATGTTACTCAACAGTTAATGTTGGCAAGTGTAAACAACAAGTGACAGAACTTCTGCTTCATATGATTACAATAAAGTTTTGAAAATGGGTATGGATTCACAAGTGACAGTTTACTAAATAGACACTTTGAATATTGTTTGCATGAGATTTTTATTTTTTGACCGCATAATTATCCGAGTTACAATGGGTCGTTCCAGAAAAAACCTTTACTCCCCCCACAGAGGAAATTTCTGCCGTCCGGAGGGAGAGGGGAGAAAAAATTGTTTATGATAATAGTAAATGTATTAGGACATGCGAAGGGAGTAGGGGGGTTAACTTCCTATTTCCTCTGTGGGGGTCGTATGGATGTTTTTTGGAATGACCCAGTCGCAATCACATAAAATTAGTTAAATTTTCTCTGCAGGGGGGGGGGGATGCCCCTGCTGCCCTCCGTGCTGTAACATAATAATAAGGTACAGCAGAATTGTAACTCGAGTCGGTTCCCTTATTGTTTTACGTTCACGAAAATTTTAACTCGCTCACACCATCCTGGCTAGTACAACCGGAAGTTTTTATCAGGTTTTGGTAGATGCCAAGTGCCGGTTGTTACTAGCCAGGATGGTGTGATTGATGACGAACACTTGTAAAAACGCGGACAAATACTTGCTTGAGTTACACTTCTGCTGTACCTTCTTATTCTGTGGTGCTGTCTACAGCCTTGTTAGATTTGTACTATGTTTGACTTTAAAATCTTATTTGCTATTATATTTATTATAATAAGTGATGAAAATGTGAATCAAGTTTTTTCGCAGATACATGTACGCGTCGCGTACCTATTTTTATACTTTAGCTTTATTTTCTTCGTGTGAATAGACCTTTAGATAATTTTTTGTTTGAAACTTGGCACTCGTCGCCTTTTGTTTGAAACTTGGCACTCGTATTGCAAATGGGCAATAACAACCGGGAAATCCTGCCTCGTCAGCAGTCAATCAAATTGCACAATTCACCAAAACAAATGTTTGCCATGCAACAAATACGATTATCACCGGTTTTATACAACCAAAACATGCAAAATGATGTTTATATATTATTTCTGTTATCTTGCATAAAGACAGGGCCATGGGTGTTCGTAGAATCGATATGGAAGCTTAAGAAGTTACATTTTCTACTGCAACTAGCGGTCAACTTCTAAATTTATAACTTCACCATGTTTATCCCTGCATACGCAGCCTTAATGTTATTAACTGCTAATTGTGATGCATGTGGTTTTTATTCGTTCTTTTAGACACCAAGCTTTTTCACACCCCTGTGTCTGAGCCTGATAGCTCTGAACAATTATCCAACAGTGAGATTGATTTTTCACGTAATATTAAGGAGGTAAACTTTGTGGGAGAAACCAAAACGGCTGTTGTGGAGACAGTTGGTGAAGGATACCAACAGGTTACTGCTGCATCAAAAAAGACGTCTGTGAACGAAAATAAAACGACTGGAAAAGCAACGTCGCAGACAGGAAATGGAAATGAGCTAAATGAATCTGGTGCTAGACATACTGTCTCTAACAGTGCTGAACAGACTTCAAACTGTGTGACTGTTGTCGCAGGTGAAATTAACGAAATTAGTCACGTTTTGGTGGAAGAAACGGTTCCTGCAGGTACATTGACAGAAAACGTGCAACAATCCCCTGCTTCACCAAAGAAGACGACTGTAGATGATCAAAATAGTATGGGTGAGGGTAGTGGAGGTAGTGAAACATATCCAGAACATGTCATTACTCTCCGATCTATGAGCAATAACCCAGATTTACCTTGTCATGACGAAAATGTTAGCGGACGAAGTTCTGAAAAACTTACTGGCATAATTCAGGATAATGATGGGTGTGCGGGAAAATTGAAAAATACCTCTGACTCTGACCCTTGTATTGAAGAACGTAAAAATAAACTAAGTGAAACACCTTTTTTGCAAGAGTTAAATGAAGTGTTAGACACACTTGATGAATTCGTCGAAGAATTCCAAACAACAAGAATGAGAAACAAAAGCGATAGGGAGGGTGAGAAAGAGGAGAACGCGAAGAAGGAAGGTAAGAAGGAAGGTGAAAAGGAGGAAAGCAGTAAGACGGAAGGCGAGAAGATGGAGGGCGAGAAGGGAAGTGATCAAGGGGGCAAGAAGGAGGGTGAGAAGAATGTAAGCAATAAAAAGGAAGGTGTGAAGGAGAGTGAGAAGAAGGAAAATGAGAAGGAGGGTAAGAAGACGGAGGGCGAGAAGAAGGCAAGCAATAACGAGGGCGAGAAGGAGGGTGAAGAGAAGGAAGGTGGGAGGAAAGAAAGCAATAAAAAAGAAGGCGTGAAGAGGGAGGGCGAGAAGAAGGAAGATGAGAAGGAGGGTGAGAAGAAGGAGGGTGAGAAGAAGGAAGATGAGAAGAAGGAGGGTGAGAAGAAGGTATATGAGAAGAAGGAAGATGGGAATAAGGAAGATGAGAGGAAGGAAGATGAGAAGAAGGAGGGTGAGAAGAAGCAAGATGAGAAGAAGCAAGGTGAGAAGAAGCAAGATGAGAAGGAGGGCGAGAAGAAGGAGGGCGAGAAGAAGGAGGGCGAGAAGAAGGAAGATGAGAAGGAGGGTGAGAAGAAGGAAGATGAGAAGAAGGAGGGTGAGAAGAAGGATGATGAGAAGAAGGAGGGCGAGAGAAATGAAGGTGAGAAGAAGGAAGGCGAGAAAAAGGAAGGCAAGAATAAGGAAGGCGAGAAGAAGGAAGTCGACAAGAAGGAAGGCGACAAGAAGGAAGCCGAGAAAAATGAGGATGAGAAGGGCAAGAAGCAGTACAGTAAAGATGAAAAAGAAACTCAGAAAACTGTTATAAGCAGGAAAAATGAAAATAAGAAAGATGATGAACCCAGTGAAGCGAGAAGAACCACCAGATCCATTACGAATGCAGGTGGTGTTCAGGTAAGTCTTTCGAATATAAGCAACATAATTGAACTGAATATTTGAGTGAAAATAGAATGCTATTTGATTGTTTTGCTCCATTACCTCCAAAACCTTAAATTCGGTATAATTAGGGTATTTTATATGTGTATAACATCGAATAATTTTAACCTCTCTCCGCAGCGGTCTTTAGTGTGTGGTGTTTTTCAGCGTATTTATGCTGGAATACCTTGTGGGGAAATAACGACTGAACGTTTTGCAACTGATACCAGTTATTCACCACAGATATTTATTAGACCTATTATGAAGCATAAGTGGTCCGACTATTTTTCAGTTGTAAAGGACCAGTGGTTTCTGTAATAAACTGTAATATCTCCTGGGGTGCTTCTCCTATACTCTCAAAATCAATAATGCCAGGCAATATAGGCGGTAGTTCAAAAAATTACGAAATGAAACATAACCGAGAATAACCGTAGTATGGTACAAATAAAGTGTATACAAGAAAAAAAAGCTGGAGAGAATGCTAGATAGTTATAAGCTCTTATACTTTGATTCTATTGCGAATTTGTCTTCAATACTATAAAATGCTGTCAACATATGTGAATTAAAATGTTTTTAACGTATTATATAAATGTACAATAATCTAAACTCTTCAAAAGACCTTTCCACTTTTAGCGATGCCCGTTAAGCATGCCGTACTGTAGGATGTTGCAGGCTTAGCTTCGTTGCCTTCGAACAAAATGGCGGCTGTGTGAGCGAACGATTTTGTTCACAGAAGGAATGGCGGAATTTTAGCGCCTGTTTGAATTGATCAATAACTTTTATCATGGATAATAAAATAAATGGATAAGAAATCTTTTCAATGGGCTGATGACGCGGTTAAATGTTCAAACCTAGTTGCAAACCAAATTCTCAAAAACGGCATGTTTAGCAATAATACAGCTAAACATTTTAGTCAAAGAGCAAATAAATATAACCACGCCATTGTACGATGAAAACTCTAAGTATTCCCAGTCAATTTTAGCAAATATTTCAAGCACTAAACAGTGAAAAATACATCGCAAATTTCGTTAAAATTTGTGACGCCAATTTCGTAGCTACATTGCTACAAATGTAAAAAAAATACAAAACAAAGACGAAAAACATTTACCTTGAATACTTTGTCGTGGCTTAGGCATGTTTTTAAAACAATTAGACCAGTTTATGCTTCGATATCACCCTTTTAAAGTGGACAATATAGCAAAACAACAAAAATGCCGAGAACTTTGGTAATATTCGCAATACGCGTGACGTCACGTTTTTCAACAAGGATGAGTCAATGAGGTCAAAGTTTCCTATCCAGTTATTTTACTATCCATGCTTTTATCTACTTCGAAGTGACCAACAATCCTGGCTAAATTATTGTGGATAGCGCGCGCGGAAAAAGAAATATCATCCTTGGCCAATATATACGTGCAAAACAGCAATGTGTAGCTTCCCCTCCCCCCTGTTCAATGTTGAAATCTTGTACATTGGTTGGGTGAAAGCTTTGCGAAATGCATGTCAAGACCAACATTGTAGGGGGAGCGGGGGAGACAAAGACGCCAACAAGTGTATGCCAACAGCAATACTTTATTTTACACCTCAGTGCATGTCCACGGAATTTTTGCCATGATTGAAGCAACTTTTAACTATATGTTGGTATGATTTCATGATGTTCTGTGCAGTAATGGCGAAGAAAATGCGTTAAAAAAAAGGCGACATGTGAACATGCTTTGCAGAGAATCTCGTGCAACAAACTAGCCTTAGGAAAACCCCACGTCTGAATTACTGTAGCATAAGATTGGACTATTTAAAAATAAATAAAACTGATAGGTGGATTTTTATTTACCCTATAATTTCCTCGCTGTCAGCACTCGGGAGATTCCAACAAAGTTTAAAAAAATTACAGAATAAATTCCCCGGTGTATTACAGTTACCTAAGTTCTGAGTAACAGTATGATGTATTACCATTTCGCTTGTTTTTTTCACTTGCATGATTGTTGATAAAAAATACTTTTTTTTGTAAATTAAAAGCTAATAGAAATAAACAAAAGTAGGGAGTATTTTGCCCTGCTAATCACAATATTTATGTTATTACCAAAACGGCAGATGCTCACTGTCGGTTGTCATGTTTTCGGGTCAAACATTCAGGAATGCGACTACAATCCTATGCACGCACCTAGTTCCATTTACTGCTAAAACGTGAAACTATTACTTGCTAATCTCAGCATATATAATTACTTGCGGACCAACAGGCGTCGCCATTCACAAAATGACGTTTAGGAATGTGGTCACATTCCTAGATGTCTTGACGCGAAAATATAACACTTTTTGGCGGACAGGAAGCATCCACGGTTTTGGTAATATATAGAACAAATTACTTTTTCCTCACCCTCTCAGATACTAAATTTCGGAAGAGACACGTGAGCAGCCACAGCTATAGGGTCTTACTGTACCTTTCCACAAGAGGGAAGAGCCGGGGAACGATGTTGCAGATTGCAGAACTTCATAAAATTACACTACATATAGTTAAAGTTCCTTTGTTGTTTTTTGGTGGGTAAAAGTTATTGATGGAAACAAACAGGTGTTAAAATGCGCAATTTTATATTTAAAACAAAATTGTTCTTTATACCAACCTACAATCTACTGTCATGCTTAGCGGCAAATTGCTATAGGTGGAAACGTCAGCTTACATTCTTATCAACAGGATGGGGCTTCTACAAAGGGAAAAACCCTGTTAGAGCTGCAGGCTACGCCAGTACCAAACGATCCGTTGTTACATGGAAGTGGATCTACCAATGATACGAATGTGGTAATTATAATGAAACCTTATTTATTTTCTTACTATAAATAATTTCTACATTAAAGACATGATGCTTGGGATGTTACTCCGAGTGCATATCCATGCACACCGGGCAAGCTTGAAAAATATGCCTGGCCACGGTGGGAATCGAACCTACGACCTTTGGAATACTAACCCATAGATATGCACTCGGAGTAACATCACAAGCATCATATTCACCCGAGTACATTTAATTACACCAACACAGAAAAAATCATTAAAGACATCTCTGTGTCATCTATCTACTGAAGACAAATATGTCAAGAATTTGGACATCTTAAATATTTACCCAATCATATACCTTAAGCCAACTGCACATGGGTACATATATATACAGCTAATTCAAAAAAGGTTGTCTTTCAAAAATCTTAAACCTTAATTAAACATTGCAGCGCGCACGGTATAATGATAACTCCGTATTTCGCTTCGTAAACTGTGGAAATTTGCTTTGCAACAATGTTAGGGCATATTGTATGGCTATTTGGTGCACTAATGCCCAATATATATATATATTTAAAATAGGCATTAAAAATTTATAAACCTTGTGGCAAATGATATCAGCCATAATATGTCACGTGGAGTGACTTTATATCTGATAA